ATTACGATACAATGTTGTCGTTAGTCTGTTTGTGGATGAAACGTCACTGCTCGTAATGACGTATACCTATCTATAATAGCCGCGTGCTTAACACTGTCACGCCGTTTACATAATAAATTCGGGAGCCATCCATGAAAACGATCATAAAATCGTCGTACTATTATCACGCTGCACCAACGACACGCAAAAGATTTCGCTAAAATATTATCATCATGCTCCAATTTGTCCTCTCTGTCGTAGAAAGCGGGCAGACTAAAAACTGTGAAAGCCAAATGTTATTATAAGTTATATATGTGTAATTATACGACAATACAGTTTATACTTATCAGTTATCATACACGAAAAGATTATGTTCACAATATTATGGTTTTCTATTTGCGATAAATCGCATATTTTTTAGTCGACGGCAAAACCTTAAAAACCACGTCTGGCCAACTTGAGAATACAACTGTTAATTCGATGCAGTCCGTCGTGAGTTTGCAAGACTTCGTCCTCAAACTACATAAGTACCTGCTTTATAATTATTCTACATTAAAGTTTTCCTTGAGACGCGACTAATACACTGTAGTCAGCTAGTCATAACATGAATGGTAAAACTTGTTAATCAACTGTTCATTTTTAGTTTCTCGTGGTTACAATGGTTATGTCGGTGCTTGTATTTTACCATAATATATACATGCGGTGCATGATCTTATAATATAATTTAAAAGAAAGAGATTTCGGAGGAAAAAAATTTAAAAAATTAAGTTTTTTATAAGTCTTATAAAATATGCTATTTAAGTTATAGCCATTTAGGCGCAATGATGGAAAATGATTTTAGATGCTAACTTATTTGAATTATGAAAGTGTACGTCTAAAAATAATAGTTGACACTAATAATCGCACCARTAATGTTGACAAAATATAAAACCAATACCACAAAATATTATGTATCTCACACTCTCATATAAGCGAATATAAGTAAATTGACTATTTTTGTCACCCGCCGATTTTTAAGGATAGCGGACAATCGCCATATTGAGACAATTTCCAACCATAATATTTGATTGTAATGAGCATATGGCACACTTTTTTTTTTAAATTTCAGATGCCATCGGATGTTTTGAGTTTTGYGTGAAAGTTTTGAAATTATATTTTTATACAGTATTGGAGAAGGGAGATTCCTGTGTCGTTATGGATTTATCTATTCCTCACGAACCATGGTGCTTTGAGACATATATTCTTAAAAATTCCTTTTGAAGGATTTGGATTTTGTTTATTTTTGAAGAGGAAGCTGCAGCCCAGATTAGATAGACATAAGTGATCAGTGGTCGGATTATTGAAGTGTATATAGAAGATGGACGATCTCATTTGGAGGGTTGATTTAAAGTTAACCAGKGGATATAAATACCTATAATAAAGCAAATAATAATCTAAAACCAATACTATATTTTTAGCTTTTTAATCGCGTACGTTTATATATTGAAAGTATGGCACTGATTTTACAYGACTATTATACGCGTAAGACGTGTTAACATCCTTTTGTCACTTGTTTTTTCCTCCAATAAACCTCTTCTCAGAGGGCGGGAGATGGAAGAAACGGGCCGTAAACGCGATCGGTGAGAGATGGTTTTTTTTTTATCGTGAACGTGCGAAGTCTTAAGGCCTGTCATCCCGCCTCGATTGTAGACCGCGGATTGTCGTCGTCGGTTCCCGAAAGCCGTCACGTTTTTCTTACATCACTCGCGAGYGCGAACTAAATTCACGTTACGATCACAAGCCGACTAGAGATGAAGAAATAAAAATGATAAAATTCGTAATATATAATACTATATTATCTACGTGTACGATGCAGACACGTAAAAACTGTTCGGGTCACACGGTCGGGAAAACAAGCGCCTACGCACGTATATAGCCCAAGACGACATATTTGATATTATAGATACATAATAATGTGTACGATATTTTATATTACAGCCGTCATACACGACGCGTTATATTATAATAACATAATCGTATAAAATAAAGAGCCATAGAGCAGCAGATACGGAACCGAAATAAAACACGACGCCGACGCCGTCAAAGACACCTTCGGCTCCACTAATAACAACTGTATATAGATACCCATCTGCCGACAGGTGGTGGTGGTGGTGGTGGTGGACCTCGAAACGCGGTTGCGATGTCTTGTATAAAGTGTGCGCTTGTGTGATTTTGTATGCATACGTGTGTGTGTGTGCGCGCAATCGAGTTTTAAGTCGTTTTCCCCCTCGCTGGACGTGGTTCATCGGATGGGCGCGTGCCCAGAATCCGCGGCGGTGCAGGCGGTCACCGTCATCGTAGTCTATAACACGGAATAATAATAGTGATGGTTAAGTATATTATTATTATTATTTATGTTTAGGTTTACTATATACGCTATATAGCCTGCCGACGTGCGACGTCGTGGACCGCGTCGCACCTGCAGCTGCGGCGTCGACAACAACAGGTGCTCTCGTCATCGCGCTTTTCACCGCGGCGACCCAAATCCGGCGCKCGCGTAGAATAACAATAATATTATCGATTAATCTTAAAATAAAAACCAAATCGTCACGTCAGCATCAGTCATCACCATTYCACCTGTTTTGTTCTTCTTTGAATCCTCTGTTAAGCGAACAGTGTATTGGTTTTCATGACCTTCTATTTTAATTTTTCCGTATCAGTTTGGAAGAGTGCTCAAGTTTTGTACGGAACCACTATCCATTAGTGTATTATTATCAATGGTAATAATGGCGAAGATTTATGGGATTTATTTGATAGTTTCTTTGAGTGTTTAGTCACCATATTATATTTTATAATCTTACAATACGAATAAAATAAAAGCTATTTCCCGAGTTAATCAAAAATCAAAATATAAAAAAAAAAACGAAAATTAAAATAATTCGAATTTAATTTTTAAAATGTGAACACTTTTTTAAAAGGAAATGGGCCACGCGACTTTAAGTTGTTAAGAGAAATTAGAATTAAGAATTATACGTAAAATTTGATAAAAATTATATTTTCTTAATAATTATCTTTTAATCGATTTTAATATAAAATAATGTACCTACCTATTTTTTATTTTTATTTCATGACTGTACTTTTTGGGCACTAGACATTATAAGAGCGATCATAATAGGAACAATGAAGTTTATAAGCCSCTCTGCTGCAAAATACGTACATCATTGATTTAGTAATATTCGTCTAATCGCATTATAAAATCTCACCCAAACGTAATGTGCACGTCATGTCTACACATTATAATAAAAAAATTCGCAAAAAGAAAAAAAAAACGTTTTTGTGTTGCCCATTACGCTCGATTTTTGTTGTCGACCCGTCAAATGCTTCGGACGTATACACTATACAGTGCGCATAATAATATTGAAGTTATATCATCACTGACATCGCGACGTCCGGATCTTAAACCTGCATGTCCATTGTCCATAATATCAGAAAAATTCGCACACTGCGCGGACGTTGTATGTAAGGTCACCGGGGCGGGACGAAGAATGAAAAACTTTTGTGCGTAAACTTCGTTACGAAATCGCTGTATGAATTTTAAAAACTTCACCGTAAACTCATGACAATAACGCTATTAACTAGGTACCAACTATATTATATTATACTCGCCACTTACACGCGATATATGTATGTATGACGTATTATTACTGTTTATCATAATACTTATATATATATATATGGGCGGTACGTGCGCGGCGGTCGTTGTAATGTTCTTTCTTCTCACCGTGTAGACTATAAAGGATATTATACCTACAGACAAGAAACTTATTTATAAAAACGATGGCAAGGAGGGCACCCAAAAATAATCAAATATATGTAGATATAACCATAACCATCGTTTATTAATGTACACACTTTGTTTAACATCAGGGCCGGATTGGTTAGGCAAGCTACCGAGAAAATCTCGGTGGGCCGCTCAAAAAAAATGTCGATCGTAAGTGTTTGGGCAATTATTTCAGAACACAAATTTGAATACATTTATTTAACTCTGTGCGCTACGTCAAATCTAGATTAATTTATACATTTTTATTTGAAAAAGGCACCTTTTAGGGCCGGTTAAAAAACTAAATCTCGGTGGGCCGATACCTTGTCTATCCGGCACTGTTCAACATTACACAATATGTTTTTGTAATTAACCTAACCTAACCTAACTTATTTTTATAAGTAGCAATATATTTTGATCACATTATGTGTCGATAAAAAAAAAACTTTTTTTGCTACAAAATAAGAATAAGAGCAATGTGAAATGGCAATGTTCAGGAAATTTTCGGAATAACAGTATAACACAATAAAACAAAAATATCGGAAGTTATCTAATTTTCTGCTGCCAKGGAGATTTTCGTCACTTTATAATACAGTCAAAGGTCTGGCCTTCTATGTACRCGCTGAACACAGACAGTTTGTAATTAAATATACTAACGTATCATATTATAGTGTACCATAAAGGGTATTTAGAAAAATCGTGCATTTTTTATTTACTTATCCTAAGTAGTCAATCACAAAGTTTGTTCATTCGTCGACTATAATAGTAATATAATAGCCTGTAAAACGGTATAATAATTTGGATTTGGTACCTCGGGGACACTATAATATCTATTATCACGACCTCCACTAATATTGTGTTAAATGTTGTAAATCAAAATGGATCTCGGCTAATRGTATAAACATTTGCTTAAATACCCATTATTCCGATATCATACTCTATATCAGCTTTGGTAAATATCCGTGTCTTGCATGACAATTATCTACAATAAATATTATTAAAAACTAATATCAATTAAAATCGATCGTCTATCCTGMAGCTGAAGCCGGTCGTCAGGTTGCAATATATAGTGTTCGATCCGGTGCAACGATCGCACAGCCACCGTGTGTGTAACGTAATATTATATCGATGATGGTTATGACCACACGATGATGATACCAATAACAATATTGTATGTGATAGTTGTTTAGTGACGGTTGTGTTTTGCGTTGTTTGATTTCAGACTCATGGAGAATCAATGCCGTTCAAATGTCAATTCTGCCGGAGGCTGTTCAAACACAAGCGCAGCCGAGACCGGCACGTGAAATTACACACGGGGGACAAGAAGTACAARTGTACTCAATGTGACCATGCTTTTTCAAGGAGGTGAGTTGCACCTATATATACCTATACCTGCGAGACGTGCGCGTGCGTATCATAGATGTATAATATTATATTATGTGTTCCGAACGTAATGACTATATCATATATCATATTATTATATATTTATTGGAGACTTGTCCGTATTATCGGCCGGCGACCACATAATAACACACACACATATATGTAGCTATATACATTTATATATATATTCACCTATAATGTATAGCACACAATTCTGTATGTGCACGCGGCGACTACGACGCACGGTTTTCCATTGTGAATTCATAGTCACGTACGTCGTATAAAGATATTTGGTACCTAGTTGACTTATAATATACGCGCCGAATTCAATAGGTTATTTTCTTTATTTTTTTATTTTTTCACGTAATTACCGATGGCCACGCGTCCAACAATTATCCACGGGGAGAGACACACGTATAACACACACACGCGCGCGCGCACACACACACTTGTATAGGTACATGTGTATATACGGTCGTGAACTTGTCAAACAGACGGACAAAATGCACACGCGTATAATATATATATATATGTACACACGTATTATAATACCTGCACATATATATATCATATAGGTATAAGCACGCCCACCCAAAAAATGTCATGCAGACGTGCTCCCGAATACAATGCTAAAGAATATTATCGTCGGCGCTCGCGCGTCTCTGCAGCACTCACGTATATATATATAGTGTATATATAGGTATGTATGTGCTAACAAACTATTGTGTGCAGCCACCGCCGAGTGGACGTGTGGCCGCAAGTACGTTGAACTAAGTAGAAGAAGAARCAGAAGACGTGTGTCCTCACACGGATGCACGCACAAACACTCGAAATACAATTTTATTTTTTTCTAATCCTAGCAAACTCCCATAGTATACCTATAATAAGTTATCGCGCCAACATTAATTTTGTACACAATCCCTAAAATATATATATATATATATAAAATAGTTACCTATTACGTCGGCTCGACCAGATAATATAACATAATAATTATTGCACAACTTTATTCGATTTCTACGCGCTTTATTATTAATCGACTGTTGTTATTTGTTACAGCGATCACTTGAAGATCCACATGAAAACGCACGACAATCAAAAACCGTTCCAGTGTACGGTTTGCAACAGAGGTTACAGCACGGCGGCCGCGCTCACGTCGCACATGCAAAACCATCACAAACGSGCTGCGGAACGGGCCAACTCGCCACAGATATCAGGCCCCTCGTACAAGTGCCTCCAGTGCACGCAGATATTCCGCAAACCCGACGAACTCCAGGTCGGTACCCGTGAAATGCACTTATTCTTCCCACCCGGTTTCCACCCCGCCGATGTCAGACGTGTTCCCACTCGCCCGCGGCACTCACCTACAGCCACGTCCATCCAGCGACGCATACCTATTAACGTATCCCTTTGCGACCACGAAATACACACACACACACGCGACACCCGTAAACCCGTTTACACCCGTGCGCGATTTCCGAAACGGGTTTTCCCGTAACCCCTCGMTGTCAAAATAGTCTCATCGTAAACGATATTATAGTTGGCTATAGGTATAATCACGTAGCCCGAAGGTTTTCCTGTTTATTGGACTTTTCATTTCGACTACTTTCGGATGGTATAAAATTTGGTTACGAACATAATAAGTATATTACGTTGTGGACCACAACCATTTCTGAATGTASGTACCTACGAGGCACCTATATCTAATAACTATGATTAGAGTAAATTGCAAATAGTGACACCTATATAATTGAATACCTAATACAACTTTTCTATAATTAACTGCAGATAACGCAAATTTAATGGGCTGTATGACATAAGCGCCAAAGGTACAAAAATGACCTTTCATTTGCGCCAAAATCTGTAGAACATAAGCGCCAATCTAATATTGTATACCTGCTATACCCAACATATGACATAAGCGCCAAAGGTACAAAAATGACCTATCATTTGCGCCAAAATTAATATTTTATATAAGTATTAAGTAGGTAGTTATTTAAAAATTTCTATATCTTATAAAAATTATATTATATTAATATTAATATGTTGATAGTAAATTATAATATAGGTATAGGTATTACATGCACATCAATATTTAATAGATTTAATAAATTGGTTGATTTTTTATAAAAATAAAATGTCGATAATAAATTATAATATACATGCACATCAATATTTTATACATTTAATAAATTGGTTGATTTTTTATAAAAATAAAATTACGAAATTACGAAATAGGTACTAACAATATGTTATAACACAAACTTCTCACCCACTGTCTATTTGACAATCTATCGTAATCAGATAATACATATTTTGTCGATTAAGATTAATCGTTTGGAGTTTTTTTTTATTTAATTCTGTTATTTAATTTCTGACGCTTTTGTACGATACGACTTTTTTTTTCTTATCTTATTTTGGCGCTTATGTCTTACACCGATTTAATGGTTGACACAAATAATTTTAAATAAAAAAAAATGACAAACAGAATAGATTCAGCTTATTTACGCTGTAATATACGTAAATATACCATATAATGATTAATGTTTGAAATTGCTACTAAAATCTGATTAATTTTATCTATTRAAAACGATTCCAAAATCGAGTAAAATAGAGTCACTTCCTAAAGTAGGAGGCAAATAAAGCAAATAATATTATTTAAATCGGGAGACAATTCGAGTACATTTATAGTAAATATTATACTATCACAGATCATACCTACCTCATATTTTATTATATAAACAACTAACCACAAACTACGGTATTTTATAATAGAAAATTAATATGACACGACCTTGTCACCTTGAATGAAAGTCGTGAACACTGGAAAGTTGCGTTTAGTGTTTCTGAGTATTTTATTTGTTTGACGTGATCACCGCTAGATGGTACTGCAGAAATATAAATTACGCAAATAATAGATCGTTTTAAATTTAATGTAGAATGTTTTGAGTTATTTTTATTAAGCGTACCCTCGTATTAAGCATATTATGATAATAATATATTAGTATCATAATGTATAATAATAAGTAATAGGTAGTTATAGGTAGTCTTGTWCAAAACGTTTAAATTAAAATATACATTACAAGCAAACTGTATATTTACGGCAAGTACAAGTTATTAACCGAAATTTGTGAATTAATTTTAATCCTTAACTGACGAGTCTATATTAATATATTATAATAATTGCGAAATTCGCTAACCGCGAAAGTTTATTTTTAAAAATAATTTAACAGAGAAAATGTAGCGCAGATACTCAAAAATTATAAAATTTCACCATACTTATTCTATATTAAGTACTTATACTTTCTTAAAAAATAAGTGTTGGGGGTCTAACGTGATACGATGGTTGACCACAGTCACCAATATATTTTATGGTCATGCATTGGCCGCTATCGCTAATTCCCGGATGGGTGACCACTCGGGTTTTTAGTGACGAATCCTCGCCCCATATACACGTTTTCTAAACCAACCGGTACCATCATCCMCCACAATAAAAACGGMACTAATAAACTTCAGGCTAATGACCTCAGAGATATTGAAACCTCGTCTCGATAAAAAAAAAATAACAAATTATGTATTGAAAGTTGAAACCATGAAAGTTTGTTCAATYGCAGCAACAAACAATAACGTTTTAGCCGACGTTCAGTCAACACAATTCCTACCATTGTTCCGTCTCACTCAGAAATACCTATTGCGTGATGACATTATTATTTTTCTGACAACCACTGAAATAATTATTATCTCACACACAGAATCACACTGCGACGCATCATCTTGGGGAGCAACTTTCGTCCAACTCACGGAGCTCGAAACGTTCGACACCGCCAAAAACGCCYAACCAATACATTTGCATGTACTGCACCAAAGAAGTGTCCAGCATGGACGCGTTGCAACAACACTTCCAGACCAAACATTGTAAGTCGTGTTATTGCTTATCTGTGTTAACAACCGCCACTGAATTTAGGGTAAACTGTTAAGTGTGGTGAACGGTGAACTATTTCTTTGAAATATATCGCAATATTATGCTATAATTTATAACCTAGTAGATAAAAGTGAATAATCCGTCAACTTGATTGTTCCGAGCCGATACCGCGATATTTTCGACAATTATTTTTAGATACCGATATCGAAATTATTCGGAAAATACCCAAGATATCGATAWCGTTGGCCAACACTATCTCTAATAGTTATTTTCCAAGTCAAGCAACGTACGTGACATGTTAATCAAATATAATAGTTTCACTTAATCTTTGGACTTTGCTTGTTCACAGCTGCGATCGTCAATGGCAAGCAGCAAGAGGACATCTTCTCGGCCGTACCACCGGCGGCCGCGTTCCCGTGGCTCAACTTTGCCGACTCACCCGCCCTGGCCCTACCACCGTACTCGTGTAGGTTGTGTATGAGCCAATTCCCGTCCGTCACTTCGTTACAAAAACACTTTACGACCGCCCACTATCTGAATTCCGTCCTCAACAACAACATACCGAACAACAATAACAACAACAGCAACAACAACAACAACACCAACGGGTGCAAAAGTGGCGGTGGCGGCTTGGTGCCGATGTTCAACTGGCCGGCAATGTCTGGCGCAAACGGATACCATCACCACCGCCACTCGACGCCRGCCGGCGGTGGTGGTTTCTTGCTCGAGGAAACCGTTCAGACAGGTCCCACAGACTTGTCGCTGTCCTCATCCAAGCACGGCGGCGGTAAGCACCATCACACGTCATCGGGCAAACACAAGTCGGCGGACGACCAGCGGAACCACGCGACCAGCAAAAAGTCCCGTTCGTCACCAGGACGCGATCTGTCGGCGGCCGACCAGCAACGTCACATAAAACAAGAACGCGTCGGTAGTCACAACGCGTATGACAGCAAACACCTGCAGCAGCCGAGGCCGACCACGACTCGCCCGCCTTCGCAGTTAGGCATCTCCAACCACAACAACAACAATAACAACAACCACAGCATTAACAACAACAGCATTCACGCTGACAACAAGATCCAATTGCCGTGTCCGCATTGTCATCTGACGTTCGCGCTCTTCGAAGACTACCAGCAGCACGTTATCGGGCACTTCCTGATGGCCGCAGCCGAGTACTCGTGCCAGGAGTGTTCCACTTCGTTCGCCACGTCCGAACACGTCCAGAAACACCTGATGGAAACGCACGCGCAGAACTTTTACCGGTGCATGCTGTGCAAAGAAGTGTTCCCGACCAAGTCGGCGCTCAAAGTGCATTTCAGCATGAACCATGGCAGYGAACACCGCATGTTCCGCTGTAACAACTGCACGGGCCTGTCTCGGCCGCTGTTCCAGACGGAAATCGAGTTCATCGATCATTTACGCAACACCCATTACTCCGCGAGATCGCCTCCACCGGTCCAAGCGAACCTGGTAAGTTATAATGCAGCTGCATTGCGCATGGCGAGGGATAAGAGGTGATCGATATATTAATGCAAGTTACCATTATTTCAGAAATAAGCAGTATAGATTTTTTGAAAATAATTTTTTTACATAATTTTAAGTGATTATTTGCAACAACATTTTTGAAAGAAAAATTTAATGTTTAACTATTTTTTATAATTATAATTTTTAAAATTTTTATTCTTTTGAATGAGAATATACGTTTTTCATTTCTCATAATAAAACTACTTCGGTGAATGATTCGTAGAGTTTCGATCGATAAAAATCAAACTCCATGGTTTATTAGTTATAGTATTATAAGAATTTAAAGATTTTATAAGTGAAGTAAATAGTAATGGACCAATAATGAGCACAATTTAAGTTTTTGACTTGGAGGAGCTTTATTTATTTAAATGAAACAAACTAAGGCCAAGCTCTTTTAAGCCCCCTCCCCCTTAAATCGCTAAGTTATAATTTAAAATCTTAAACTTGATTTTTATGGATTTAAGTAATCTAAAATATATTCTGTATTTAAATTAGATATTGAAAATGCATATTTTTTGATAAAATATGATAACGAATAAAAACATTAAAAAAAAAAAATATGTACGCTAGTGAATCACTCGGTATTTGCTCGCTTATAGCTCTGTATATTTCGATTTAAGTAAAACGTTTTTCATCCATTTGCGTGCTTTTCAGATGTTGAGGTGTTTGGTGTGCCACGCCACGTTTAACACGCAGTCCGACATGGAACAACATTTAGCTAGTCACTCCAAACAGTTCCAATGCCAATTCTGTTCGGAAGCGTTCCACATCGAGTTYTTGTTGGACAGACACATTCAAACGCATCACAGTTCGAGCGTAAGTCACTGCGCRGCGGTCGGATAATCACCATACATCTAGATGATAGTATAATATTGTCAATGATTACAGATTTTGAGTCACCTTAATCGGAACCACAGGGAATCGCCGAGTTCCATGTGCACGTCTCCAACGTACATTTCCCGGACGTCAGACGGCAGTAAACATGCGACGGAGAACGGGACGACCGCTTGTGATATATGCGAGAAAAACGATTTTCGAAATGAGCTGGACCTAATGGCCCACAAGAGGACGATGCACCAGGTGAAACCTACAAATCTTTCGACAAAAGTGAGATAACGATCCTCCCGAGTATTTATATTTAGAAAAAACACAGATTTTAAACTTCCGTTTTCAACCCAGGTGAGCTTACATTGCGCTTATTGCAACGAAAACTGCAAATCGAGAACAGATCTGGAGAACCATATGAAAACGCATTCGCAACACGGTTCTAATGTCGGAAAGCACAAATGCAACATTTGTGACGAAATCTATCAATCCGCGATCAGCTTGGCCGAACACAAACTCACTCACTGCAAGGTGCGCATACTCGGTTATACTATAATATACTGACTATGTATAACTTAGTTAATTATTAATAAGTAATGACCATCGAGTATCGATACAGACCAAATTTTAATAATTTTATTAATTGAAATATATTAAGACGATGTATGTGAATACGCAATTTAATCTTTAACAAAATTATGGCAGAGAGGGGAAGGGAACGCCGGTATTCAACACTATTAAATTATAAATTAATACCAGTAAAATCGAATGTTAATAATTGATAATTGTAAATGTGGATTATATAATATTTATATTTTATATTAGGATTTATTAATTGATCATGTAGGTACCTTCGATAAATCGTAAAGTATTTTTTATAATAACTTATAACGAATTTATTTGTAATAAATTATATCATATAATTTTCCATTATTATCTCTTATATCTTTGTTTGTAATGTAATAACACAATATTAAATTGAGTGTGTGTACCGCTCCCCTCTATTATTAATGGCTTATAATATTTTACCGTTAGAATTATATATTCTAATTTCGCCCTTGAACTTTATTCACCTGTTGTTCACTAGTGATATCGTGTAATTTTGAATTTTAGTATTTACAAACAATACACGATTACGTATAATATATTTCACATTAGATTATCAAGGACTCCCARAGTAGTGTATAATATAATATATTTWATATATTTATTTTATAAATTTATAAATTTAATAAAGGATCCAATTTGAAGTTYGTCGGGACATGATGATAAATATGGGACAATCTCGATTTGAACGAGACAAACAAATGCCCCCTCCCCCCAGTGAATATTTTATATAAAATTATCATATATTATAATATTTCATATAATGTTAACAAGATATAATTAGGATATTATTATATTGAAGATTTATGTCAGCTCTATCATAGTCATAACCATTTCAATMTTTAAACTTTTTCTCCATATCATTCTTACATGTATTATTAATATTTCTATCAGGTGGCCACGAGTACCGTGTGCAGTCACTGCAAGATGACGATCGACAACGAGGATCAGTTCCACCATCACCTCCAGAAGCACTGCAACCCGGTGAACGCGAACGGCAACCAAGTGGCGTTTCCCACGTCTTGCATCATATGCAGGCAAACGCTCGTGTCGGACATCGAGGTGAAGGTGCACGTGCATTATCACCTGTCTCGGCTCAAGGAACCTCCGGCCGTGTGCGGCAACTGCAACCGGTACAAGCGGTCGGCGTCGTCCCCGTGCACCGGCTGCAACCCGGCCAGGAACAGCGGATCGGAACGGTGTCCGGACTGCGGTGCGGCGTTTGACGCTTTCGGCGCGCTGCAACATCACCTGACAACTGTCCACAGGAAACCGTTTCACTGTTTTAAGTGCAAGGTAAATGCGACATAAACTATCCAAACGGTAAGCTACCGTGCACAACAGTTAGGGTGATTTGCCAAGCGTACCCAYTCTTTTTTTTTCTTCTACAGTGACTACGTTAGTGATTCGAAATCTGATTTTAAGAATTTTCAAATATTCACGAAGACCATATAGATTCGATTTCTCGTGATTTTTTTGTGCGAATCGAGGAGTGTACTGTGGATGTACCAATTCTGTTTTTCAAACGAGAACCCATTTTTTTCTACTGTTAATTATTATTTAGTAGATMATTTTTCTAAGAATTCTGACATACCTATCTAAATCAAAGAGAACTATAAAAATAAACGTTAAATGTCTTGCCRTCAACGATTTTATTTCTGAACGATATTTCTTCGAAATGTTATGGCAGACAGAGTTGTAGTTAGTATGTTAGACAGCAGGGGAGGAATGTATTCATTATTAGAATATCGCGAGTGATTGCGAGAGCTCTGATATGAAATTAAACATGTTTGAAAATCCACGTGACACACACTTGTATGCCACACGTAAATTATAAATTACAAAATATAATAATATAAAAAAAAAGGTTTGCACTCCGTCGCAACGCAACATAATATTGTTGTGATGTCGCGTATTTTGACATGCATGCAATAACTYCTACTGCTGGTGTTTGGCACAGATCGGGTTCGAGTCGCAGCAGGAGGCCACGATCCACTTGGGCACCCACCTGGCCACGCTCAACGGTTCCGTGGACGGCATCGAATGCGGCCTGTGCCCGTGCGTTCTGCCCACGGCCAACAGCCTCCAGACGCACCTGATCGAGCACACGTTCGCCGGCTGCAAGGCGTTCACTTGCTACCTGTGCTCGGCCATATTCACCGCACCCACCGGACTCCAGGCGCACATGACCGTCGACCATTCGGCCGAAACGCCGCCGTACGACTGCCCCAGGCCCGGATGCCAGGCCAAGTTCTTCTTCACCGCCGAACTGGACAGGCACACGCTCGAGCACCAGGGACAGGACGTGCTGGCCAACGTGAGTTGATTTATGACAGCGCAGCAATGCACCGCCAACATTATAGTCGTGCACTGTGTTACGGTGCCGACCAGTACAGCCCACGTATAGACATGGGGACATAGCCGCGGCTTTCCTCAATAAACAGGATTTCGCCACAGTTCGATTTCATCAGAAACAGAARAAATATAGTTCCTTACTATTTTCCTCCACTGTGCGCTCCTCAAAATAATCAAAATAAGAAATCGTTACTTCTTCTTTAATTTAAATATTATATATGTTATATAAATATTATAAATAAAATACCAACGGTATCATGATATTATACTTTATCATTTTCTAGTTAATAGTTTATTTAAATAATTTTTTTACCCATATAAGTCTGACTTTAATGRCCTTAACGATTTTTGTCACCAAACTTCTTTTAATACTTAATAAAATAAAATTCCATACAAAACAAACACTTCATAGAAATTAAAATTTAAAATATACGTAAAACCAACTAAACTCCTCTGTCATACYCATATGAGTTGAAATAAAATTGTAATTAATTATGTATATGTGCGATGAGCGGCGCATAATAATAATATTATCAAAAGTTAAATACCTAGTCAATAATTTTAACTTATCAGTTATCGAATCAAAAATTAAACGGTCGCTTCGTTTGAACTTTCAGATGAACTTCTACAAATATCAAAACAAGCTGATGTCCATCTGCGATAAGTTATCGTTCAAGTGCGCAGATTGTTATCAGAGCTTTTTGACCCAAACCGACTTGCAGTGTCACGTGTATGACCACCATCGGCAGCAGAAAGACGCACCGCCGACGGGACCGGAATCAAAAGACGTCAAACAGGAAATGAGCGGATGCGTGGTTAACGGTAACGCGGATGAATCACAGCTTTTGGGTGGATGCGAACGGGCTGATAACCCAATCAAAGAGGAGGAAGATGGGAACGAGGTGAACGTGAAAACGGAACATCATGAAAAGGACGACGAGGACGAAGAGATGATCGATGTAGGTGTGAACAACCGTGGCGAATYAAAGTCGGGAGACGATGAAGAAGACGTGGACATGCGTTGACGGAGTGTCGTCACTACTCGGCGTTTAGGATGGAGTGTTCGTCAACCAGGCCCAAAAATTTATGTTGTTATTCTCAAATTGTATTTCAAAAAGAATAATCACCTCAAAACGTATTAAGACGAYAGACGTGTGAACTCGATTTTTCCCCAGGGCCTCTCTGAAATTGTTTCTTATATATTATATTTCACCGTCATAATAATGATTTATGAGAATACAGTTATTATTATTATTATTATTATGATTATTGTTTTTTATTATTGTTATACATACGCGCAAATGATACGCATGATATTAGAGTATATTGTTTTTAATAAGTAAATTCGTATTATTGTTACATATTATTATTATTATTATTAACGGGATAATATAGTACACGTAATACTCAGCGTGTTCTGTTTATATTACTATTATTGTATGCATTACATATGATTGTATACGTTGTATTTACGGTAAATAATGCGCACACATAAAGTTTTAGGTGGTGAAATATTATTATTATTATTATGACCTCGTCGAGGAATGAATTATATTATTCGAGATAAATTATGTTATCRCTTTCTTTTCGTACGTATATTAATACTTTTTAGCGTTATTGTTCATAATATTATAAATATAGTATTAAACGAGTCTTACATATTATTTAACGTCACTTATTAGCTTATACTATTATTTAATGTCTTATAGGATTTATGTTTATGTTGAACGATTCATATAGATATTCTGTTATTATTTTTTATTTATTATTGTACAAATATCATTATAGTTCTATTATATAGAGAAAAAACACGTGTATATACAACGATAATGTCTTTAAGGGTTATGGCTATTTCTTATGGTTAACAATATTTTGTTTTTATTTTACTTTAATTGTGATACTATTTTATCAAAACGGTTTTTATTATACACRCCGTATTTTTCTTTCGTTTTATTTAATCATCCACTATAACGTCCTTGATRGAAAAAAAATGATCTACTTACTAGACAAATTGCTAGTTAGGTTGATTATAAGAACTTGGTTAACAACGCGCACCTATATAGTGTCTCATAAACAACATCCTTCTATAGCTGCACTTAAAACTGTTCAATATTCCAATAAAATTATAATATATCGTATTAGTATTGCAATGTGAAATTAATGTTTGGTATCATTGARCACATAATAAGTAAGATAAAGTAATAATTATATACAAGGTACTTTTTACAAATTTGTATGCCCAATTACATATTAATAAGTAATAACATATAAAACTGCTGAAAATGTAATCCCTAGATAAAATATTTAAYCACCTCATTGATTAAATCACAATATTATCATTTACCACAATCTAAATTAGTTTAAATACTATTTTCTAACTTTTTGAACAAGTCTCACGTATTTTTATCACYCATCTTGTAATTGACGCAACTACAATATATTAGTTTTTAATTTGATGTAGAATCATTTTTCAAAAAAGCACTTTTTGGAGATAAACATTTTATATTGATGTATTGTATTTAAGTACTAAAACATTTTATTTTAGATTCTCTATGAAAACAAAGTTTTTAGGTGCACTTGCCAGTTGCCACAGTGCATTATWACATTTATGTAGGTACTTTTCATATTTATGAAGACTTGTAACATCATATACCTATTAACYAAATTACTAAAGTACCTAGTCAGTAGTCACCGCATATTAGACCTACTTTTGGACCAGACCATTAGAGTTCAGTAATGAAACGAGTCAATCAGGTGAAAGGCTAAAAAAAAAAACTATATATACCTAATTATTTAATTAAAATATTTATTAAAATTTCACCCATTAAAATATGTGTGGTAAATATATGTACAGTAAAAAAATAATGTATGAATATTCACAAAAAAAATTCGTTTAATTAAAAATAATAAAGTRAAATATTGTAAGATGCTAGTTACTTAATTAATTTTTGATAAAAATCCAACCAGGGTTGATTAGATTTTTTCTTCTTAGGTTTAAAATGATCCCATTAATCGATTAATCTAAGAAACGAATTGTTTGCTGAGTGTTAGTATATGTGCAAATCAAGACAAGCCGTTTTGAGTGTAATGTGCCAATGAGACAATTAACCACGAGTCCACTAAGCGGCGACCACTGTACATCACATTTTGCAAAACTTTAATAGATCGACATCCCGCATGTATTGTCTTCGTCTTACAAGTCTTAGCAAAGATTGTTTCACGCGGAAAAGAACGGTGAAAGCTATAATTAAGAAACGAAATTTTCACCAGCAGAATTTTGTCTGTGCAATATCGTTTTTATTTTTTCGATATCAGAACCACAAAAAAGTTGTTCATGCTTAAGAATCACAAAAATAATGTATTATGAGACAATTGAAACAATAATAACTTTTTTTGTATAAGTGATATTGAAAAAATAAAAACAACAATACACATACAAAATTCTCCTTTTTATATGGTGAAAATTTCGTTTCTTAATTATAACTGTAGCTTTCACGGTTCTTTCCCACTTTATGTTATGTTACACACTTTTTTTTWATTATTATTTATTGATACGGCTTCAACATTAAAGTCATTAGCCGGGAACAAAACATGTTTACAAATTATTTAYAGTCATCTTAATATTTAAATAAAGGAAATACAAGAATATTACAAGTATATGGTGATAATGATATAAGTAACAATAATATATAATTATTACACACTTCTTGTAAGACGGAGAAAACACATAAGGGAATGGCATCCTCTTAAGCCTTGAATCTTCCTTCTGCTTTACAATATTAAGTATTATTATATTAAATTTCCGTTTTTAAATATTAATATTATATAACATTATTATAATGTAAACTATAAACAATAAAGTAAATAAGTAAAAAATAATTGTACCCTATATTTTAAGAACTAATATTCTCAACAATATTAGGGACTAATGGATGAATTATTCAATAATTAAATTTTTGAAATGAACGAGTGTAAGTATATACACACATATAAAGGTATTAAGATATTCATCAAAATTACAATGTGTAACTTTGAATGATTATATAGGTATGCTGATAATTACTATTTGATATATTAAATTTATATATTTTGGTATCATCGAKAATTAAAACCATAGAAAAGTTTCAAAAAATTGAAAATTAATCACATGGTATTAAAATTTACTAAGTTTTAAAAGGCATGACAATTAAATCATTTTGTTCGTAACAAGATATAATAATATAATGTATAGTGACAATGAAATAAATTTTATGAATATTACTCTATCTTAAGTCAAGAAYTACTTATCGATAAAAAAAAAATCGTGGATATGTATTTGGAAAAAACATGTCCGTTGATTTTTTTTAAATATTATGAAAGCAAATGGTATTTTAAAAATGATAAAAAAATAAGAAAAGTGAATAAAATTGTTTTATAATATAAGTTTTCTGTAAAATCATAAAATTGTCATTATTGTGGTTTACTACTGACATTCGGTTGAAAATCGACTAATATTGAAACGAATTTACTTGATTTGCCATTTGTTGTAACGTTGTGTACAATAGCCAACAAATAATTTATAGGGAATCTAATCAGTCCATAACAATATGGGTAAGTTATGAACCGGCGCAGTGGATAGGCAATATTTATGATCGTAAGCTTAAGTACCAAATATTTATCGTTAGACATATCTATTAGTTTTAATATTTAATAACGTTATGTCGTTATGTGCAAGCCAGTTGAGATGTAGGCCCAATAGGATCAGCAACTTCTGTCTATTCACTACAACTATAACTACCCTACGCATTTATAAACACATATAATAGACTTATAAATTATAATATGTAATTTTCGATAAATTCATGGTCGTTGGGTAGACAAAGATTTGAGG